ACCCCCACCCCCAGAAAAAGCCAAAAATTTTAAGAATAGACTATAGCAAAGAATTTCAGAAAACAGGAGGAAGAGGGAGGGGGATGTAGCTCAGTGGTAGAGCGCATGCTTTGCATGTATGAGGCCCCGGGTTCGATCCCCGGCATCTCCACTATTCCCTTTCTGGGTTTCTTTTTTTCTTTTTTTTATTGAAGTTTTGTTGATTAACAATATTAGTTTCAAGTGTACATCAAAGTGATTCAGTTATACACATACATACATATATATTTTCTTTTCAGATTTTTCTCCAATTATATGTTTCTACAAGAAATTGAATATAGTTCCCTGTGCTCTACATTAGATCCTTGCTGTTTATCTATTTTATAGTTAGTAGTGTATACCTGTTCATCCCCAACTCCTAATTTAGCACTCCCCACCCTTTCTCCTTTGGTAACCACAGTTTGTTTTCTATGTCTGTGAGTCTGTTTTTGGTTTGTAAACAGAATTTTTTTTTCTTTTCTGCACATGGTCATCGGACAAGCACCGTGAATGTAATTGTGACCTGGAGGTGGGACTGTCACCCTAGGCGTGATCTGTCCTTCTTGAAACCCCTAACACTCCAAACGTCCTTTTGTTAGAAGAGGCAAATGGAAGCAGATAGCAGAAAAATGTGAAAGTACATGATGACTGAAACCATGGCAAAAGTGACAGTGATCATTTAGGGATTTTCTTCCCCTACGTCTCCTGGCAAGAAAAGGCCTAGAGGCCGGGTGACTCATTCCTGGCTATCAGAGGGCAAACGTGAACGTCATTCAAAGGTCTGAGAGTCTGTGCTGGCCGTTGCCCTGTATTTATGCTGTCGCTAACAACCATTTTCAGAGGAAGCCACCCAAAAGGAAACCAGCAGCCCCGGCAGGTGAGATTCTGCTTCCTGCTTCATCAGCAACAGGCCAGGAGGGAATGCATGCGTGGCTGCGGGGCACTGACTGTTTATACCTTCATTTATACCCCGTACCTTATCATTAAAAATAAAAGATATCTTATTAAAAGAATGGATCCTGTTACACTCCGCGGGTTCAGTTCTTTGCAGTAATCATGAATTCTGCATCCATCAAATCCTATCTCGCATTTGATTTGACCTCATGTTTTAAATCATAAAAACATCTCAGCTTGGAGCTGGAGGGTCCTGACTCAGCACAGCCTTTGTTTTTGAGATGAAACTGAAGTTTGTGAAATGACTCACCAGTTGGGTGGTGGAGTACTGGTGACAGCTCCCGCCTGGAATGCACTTCCCTGAAGGTTATTTCTCCCTAAATGTCAACAGGTTTTAAGAGCACAAAACGTTGAGGTTATTTCTAAAATTATCAGGCCTAACATGAAACTAGTCATAAGCTTCTGTTTTACTTTGTATATTATAATTAAGTATTTCTAATAGTTCAGTGACAAGGGAAAAACACCATAAGGGGAAACAGCAAGGCTTGTGCAGGGTAATGGCGCTTTCTAGAAAGGCTATGACTCTTTGAAAAAACTGTTTTTTCAATAATCAGATTTTATTTCACAAGTAGAAAAACAAAACCCATTACATGAGGTACCAAGACTAGTCAAATGCATAGAGGCAGAAGGTAGAAGGGTGGCTGCCAGGGGCTGAGGGTGGGGGGAGTTAGGAGTTAGTGCTTAATGGGTACAGAGCTTCAGTTTTGCAAGAAGAGTGGAGGTGGTAACTGCACAACAGTGTGAAATTAAAGGGTAGCAGAATAAGCCACCCAAAAAACGTGCCACTTTGATATTATTTTGAGCTGTTGGCACTTGAAAAACAGCAAATGCAGAGGGGAAATTTTCGCTGAACTCTGTTCATCCACCCAAAGACAGACCCTTTAAAAAGGAATTCAATGGTCGTAAGAGTCCCTCCCTGGGAGTCTCACCAACCAAAGAAACTGCAGTTGACATCAAACTTTGTCACAAACTGTCAGATATCTCCAACTATTGTTTTCTCCCAGTAGAAATTACTTACTCTCCATTAAGAGGCCACCACCCCCTTCACCTTTCCCTATTAAGATAGTATTTAAGCATAATTCTGAAGACACCTCTTTGAGTGACACATTTTCCCCCTGGGATATCTCCCAGGTATACATGAAATGTGAATGTTAATAAACTCTTAGGTATTTATTTTTCTCTTTTTAATTGTCTTTCATGACAGGGGGTCTGAGCTAAGAACTCAGAAGGGTAAAAGGAAAAGTATTTTCCCCTCCTCTACAATGTACTAAACACTACTTAACTGTACACTTGAAAATGGGTAAGATGGTACATTTTATGTTATGTGTATTTTGCCACAATTTAAAAACAACAACTTAAAAACCAAAAACAAAACAAAGACCCAACAGCTGACTTCTCCAGGTTCCTAAACTAGACAGATTTGGGAACCCGAACTTCAGTCTGACTTTCTGACTGGTGGGGGATGAAATGGTGTGTTTTTCAGCTGGAGCAGTTTGTGTTCTGCCGCACAAGGCAAATACAGGAAAAGGACCAGTCCCCAGGGCTTCTCACCCCCTCCCCTCTGAGCTGCAGATTCCTTTGACTTCCTTTTATGGTTATATAACCGATGACAAAGCGAGCAAACCTGTCTCACTCCGCTGAGTTCACCTTTTCTCTTGGGAGAAAAATGTTTGCTGGTCATTATGTGCACATTCACATGATGCTGAGTTAAGTCCCACACAAGGTTATGACCTCCAGGGAACTGAATCCTTTGGGGTGGAGGAAGAAAAGCAGGCAGACAAACAGGCACCAGTCCAACCCCCAGCAGCCCACCACCCAGGCCCTTTGTGAGCTCAGCCCATCACGTGTTCACCCTGCCCGCCAATCCCGCCGTGTTGCTGGGCCTCTGTCACGCTTCCATTGGTGCCAGCTCTGAAGCAATCCGTTCTGGGGCGCCTGCAAAGGACGGATCAGTGGGTGGAAGGAACTGAAAATGGATCCAATGACTCATCCTGCTTCTGGCATGTTCTAGCACACTGCATTCTAGGTCAGGGGATTTTAGGTTTAGGAGCGTGACTTGATACCTGATTCCCGGGTTCCTGAGTCCAAGTGGGACATTTAGACTTTGGGAGCCCTTCTCAGCAAAGAGAAAAGCAGTTGTGATGACAACGGTAATCTGTAGGGCAGGGCTTGTCAGCCCAATGCATTCCTGACTTGGGGGCCGAGTAATTCTGTATTGTGGCGGACTGTCCACTGTAGGACATTGAAAGGGTGCTAGTGGCACCCCTCACCCCCAACATCACAGTTGTGACAACCAACGAGGCCTCCAGACATTGCCAAATGTCCACTGAGGGGCCAGATCACTCAGAGCTGAGAGCCACGCTGGTCTAGAAAAACCGCAGCCTCTTCTCTTGGGGAAGGTCATTTTCCGCTCCCTCCTCCCCTCAGTGCCCTTGGACAAATGTTTATTTCTATTTGCTTTGACAAAACCCACTGTTGGACTTAAGTTAGGGGCTGCAGGGGTTCCACAGAGATTTTTTTTTTTTTTACCAGAGGCAACATCAGTGTTCTCAGCTCGTAAGAATTCTGCTTTCCCTTTGGAGATAACGCTGGGCCTGTTCCCCACTCTCTGAACCTCTCCCCCCGCCCCTTTCTCCTTCTCTCCCTCCCCTGGGCCTGAAATCAGGTCTGTTTTGCTCTGTATCTTTTGGACTCTGAAAAAAGCTATGTCACAAAGCTCGTGACTCAGCCTTTAAACAACATGTGTCACGAGGCTTGCAGGCAAAGGAACAGCCCAGAGCAAACAGGGTGCGGTCAGAAGCCAGGCCTGGTCACCTGAGAAAGACGGTCAGCTTTGTGTTCTTCTGGAAACTTCTGACATTTAGGGAGGGAAAAAACCTTATGAAGAGCCTGAATATTCTGTTCCTTTAAAGTCTCTTTCCAGAAATTTAGAAATAACCTTCACAAGGATCTGTATTGGAAGTCACTCAGGTCTCTGGCTAACCTGAAAAATGACACTTTATTTTTATTACTCATTTTAATTTCCCAGTAATTCATTCTCTGAAAAATGCTAACAATGACAGAGGTTAAAGTCGGCTTTGAACACTGTCAGAGCTTTTCCATAAATACATAGGTTACCAAAGGAAATACATAGCTTTGTTTTGATTCACATTTTAAGTATAATGTTTAAATAATATGATGTTCATAATTTCAAACAGGAATGTAGTCTTTTCCTAATGGCAGACCAGTTTTTAGTCAGCTTTTGCATATATATACATTTTTTGAAGGCTTTAAAAGTGAAAATTAAAAACATCCTCCTCTCATTTGTAGAAATAAGAAATATTTCTAGAAAAGTCCAGCAAGAACAGTGGTTGGGGAAATTGAGGGCGTAAGAGAGGTTTTTCCTGTAAACTTCAAAAAAATTCTTTTAAGTTTTCATCATGTTCACATATTTTAAAACACTTAAAAACATGCTGAAGAAACAATGTATAGAGATCACAAACTAGATTGTCACAAAAATGGAAAGGATCTGGCTGCTCTTTTTCTCTTTCATCAAAATGTAATTTGCCTATAGAACTAAATTTCATGCTTGGGATATTAATTATCTTCCCCCAGGAATATACAGACCTTAGATTCAATTAGTGCCTTTTTATTTTTCACTTTTACTTACTTTAATTATTTAATTACTTTTATTTTTTTTAGTGCCTTTAAAAAAATCTCAGGCTTAAGAGGTTTGATTTCTGAGCTCAGCTAAATGCCAGCAGAATTGAAATCTTGATGCCTCCCTGTTTCTAGTCAAGCACAAAACAGGAAGGCTGAAGAACAATCTGGAAAGTTCTGTCAGCTTTCAGGTCCAGCGCGGACTTCTACACAGTTGTGTGGAATTTCCGTCTTTCAAGATTCAATGCAGCCCTGCCAGAGGCATTTCTTCCTTGGAAACTTATTTTTGCTCCTGCGGGTCCCGCCCGGCTGAGGTCGGCCCTGGGTCTCGGCCGGCGGCTGAGATTTGTCGAGTCATTCGTCCTGTCCGGCTGCCCGCCCGGTGCGGGATGGGCCGGGCCCCCGGGGAGCCCTCACGACGGGCTGGGGGTGACCGAGAGTTCGGGGAAACAGACACCCTATCGTTATCTTAAAAGAGACCCAGAATTAAGACCCCCTCGGTTTCGCGGGTGGGGGGAGAGGAGCGGGGCGGGGTGCGCGCGAGGGGAGCGCCGGCCTGCGTCAGGCGCTCGGCCTGACCCCGGCCCGCCCAGGGCGGGACCGCGAACGCCTGGGCCCGTCGGGCTGCGGGGAGGGGGCGTGGGGGCCGGGCTGCGGAGACAGCCCGCTCCGGACGCCCGTGGACTCCGCGCCGGGTGTTCCCACCTCCCGCGCCACCCCGCCCCCTCCCGCAAGTCCAGCGCAGGCCACGTCAGCGGACGCAGCGCTCAACGAGCGCGCTGATCCCTCCGCGCAGCCGCTCAGGTCGGCCACCCGGAGCCCACCAGATGCAGCCCCAAAGCCCAGTCTTCACAGGAGAGCATTTTGTGAGTCGGATTAGATGATTCTGGGGGACCGCTTTTCTCTTCAGAGGGCAGGAAGTGCTGCGAAAAGTAGTCCCTTCTCGGCGTTTCTGCGGAGGGATCTACCGGAGCTGCATTACCGATGACTATATAAGGAAGCGCCGGGTGTGGCGCAGGCAGGTCCGTCGGGTCCGGGAGTTTAGCTGCGTTTCTTCTGTCTTCGCTGCGTCCACCGCCGCTTGGTGAGGAGGGGTCTGGGCTGGGTGGGTCTTGCGAGGGGCACGGGCGGTCGACTTCCCCGCCGCGGGCGGAGGGGCAGCCGAGGCTTTGAGTCGCCGGGGCGCCTCAAGCAGGGCGGCCCTGAGGGGGAGGAACGCAGCAAAATGGCGGCCGTCCCTAGTTTCTCCGTGGCAGAAGCCGGACGATGAAGCGGGCTCTGAGGTGGGAGAGCGACTGTAGCGGGGCGAGGGGAGGACACGCGGGAGGCCCGGAAGGCCTCAGCGGCGGCGGGGCTCAGCCTTTTGTTGGACGGTGTTGGGCAGTGTGTGGGGGAGTCTAATGTTTCGCCAGTTGACTGGCGCGAGAACTCGGCTTCCTGTCCCGGTGAAGGGACATTAACTGCCAGTGCCACTGAGGCGTGCGGCATCCGCTCTGGGGGGAGGGACCCGCTCCCCGTTGCGGTTACGAGACGTCACCCCCTTCTGTGGGCGCATAATCGAGGGTGGGGCCACCTGCCGCTGTGTGTGTAGGGAGATTTTTTTCATAGTCGCGGGACACAGGGTTTGGGCCAGGGTAGACGCTGCTGTGTTGACAGGGGAAAGACATCCAGTGAGGGGGGAGGATAAGTGAGACCCGCGAATTTACTTGGCTCAGGTTTCCGTGCTTGTCTCTCAAGTGTTTGAAACTTTGCTTGGTTTTGAGCTTATTTGTCAAACCTGTCAGGTTTTTAGGCAAGTTAGTTCCTTGGCTAGTACGAAGTGATACCTCAGTTTTTAGCACTTACAGTGTATTAGTCTGAGTTACCTGCTGAACTCTGGGGTTTTTTTGTGTGTTGTCTTTTTGTTCTAACAGACAATGCAGATCTTCGTGAAGACCTTGACGGGTAAGACCATCACCCTGGAGGTGGAGCCCAGTGACACCATCGAAAATGTCAAGGGGAAGATCCAAGAAAAAGAGGGCATCCCCCCAGACCAGCAGAGGTTGATCTTTGCTGGGAAACAGCTGGAAGATGGGC